TTTAATTAGTAATTTCATATGAACTAAAAATTTCGGACAAATCACTCAAAAAATTATCACTAATGATCTATCACTATTAGAGTTGCAATCATAATTCCGTAGCGGCAGTTGCAACTTTTGCCATAACCATTACGGTTTTTGTCATAATACCGTAAGTAGTAACCTATGTCGGAGGTCGTAACTTATGTCAAAGGTCGTAACTTATGTCGTAGGTCATAACTTATGTCGTAGGTCATAATTTATGCTGCAGGTTGTAACTTAAGTTGTTCAATGTTAACATATAATATATTGTCTTTAGACCCATGTTCAGTGTTAGTGTTATTTCTTGTAGGAATTTGTGGATTCCTACGTTAAGTCAAAAGGTAAAATAACTATGACAACAAATATTTTTCTGAACAGTATAAATTTGAAATAATTGTTTTTATTCCAAGTAGTGGTTTGCACATGATCTTGTCATAAGGCACGCTTATATTATTTATTATGATATGAATTTTCGTGATTATGTGTAGTTAATTAGATTAAATGTAGTTATCATTATTATGTAAATTAAATGTATTTATCATTATGATGTGTAGTTTATTAAATTAAATGTAGTTATCGTTACGATGCGTAGTTTATTAAATTAAATGTAATTTTTTTGTTACAAAGTTATAAAAAAAAACATTTAAAATTCCTATTTTTAAAATAAAGCATACTTTAACCATGAGTTTAAGTCGTGAAAGTTCAATAATCTCCAATGACTCTAACATTTCTAATGATAACCAATCTAATAAAAAATGAAAACTTGGTGGTCTAAATTTTGATGAAATTTGATGATTTTTTATTAAAGGTAAAAGTAAAGGACAAGGCCATTATGAAGCAAAATGCTGCCACTGTGATTCTTTCTGGGCACGTGGTAGACCTCATCTTATGAAGGTTCATCTAGCAAATTACTGTGAAGATTGTCCTAATGAAATTAGTACTTATTGGCAACAGAGATTAGCTAATGAAGTTAATAATTATAGTCGAAATATTTCTGAGTGTTTGCCTGAATCTCTTCCTTATGATATTAATAATCAGATTGATCAATCTCTTCTTAAAGCTTGGGTCATGACTGGGATTTCGTTTGATGTAATAGAAAATCCTTTTATGAAGGATTTTCTAAAAAACCTAAATTCGAAATATACTCTACCATCACGAACAACACTTTCAGAACACCTATTAAATGAAGAAATTGCACGAGTAACAAATAATATCAATAAAGAGCTTGAATTATGTAATAATCTTACTCTTACTTTGGATGGTTGGACTTCACCACGTGGTGATTCACTCTATAATTATATCGTAACTACAATGGACAGAAAAGGATATTTTATGTCTCTAAAAAATTATTCCTCAGAAGCACAAACAGGAGAATTTCTAACAAATGAAATCTCTAATTTAATTAATAATATTGGAAGTGAAAAATTTACTGCAATAATAACTGATGCAGCAACAAATTGCAAATATGCCTGTAGAAAAATTCAAGAAACCTACTCACATATTTGGGATATTCATTGCGCAGCACATGTGATTAATTTAATTGCTTCCGATCTAGTTAAATTAGAAAATATTAAAACCTTTATTAGAAATATAATAAAATCGTAAAATTTTTTAAAGAATCGCATAGAGGCAGTTCATATTTGCAGCAAGGTTTAAACCAAATGAAAATTAATTCCAAAGGTCTTCATTTATAGTATAAAACATGTTGGGCATCTTTGTTTTTTACTACTGATTCTATTCTTTGAGCTCGTCCTGTATTTGATTGGATTTTAGCTGAATATTCCGAGATTATTACCAATAGGAATGTCTGTTATTTACTAAATAATAACGAATTTTTTTCTACTTGTCGACAAGTTAGAAGTATTTGGACTCTGATTAAAGAAATTATTTATGTTCTCGAAGCTAATAATGCTGATTTAGCTGATTGTTTTAATTATTTAATTAAACTTGCAGTTAGAATTAATCAAATTCCAACAACAAATCCCTTTAAAGTTGCAGCTATTAATATATTTAATCGACGATTTAAAGAATTTCAACACCCGATTTACCTTTTATCATATTATATTCATCCTAATTATCATGGTTTCAGGCTTAAGAATGGTGGATTTAGAGAGGCAGCACTTATTGCTACTTCTTTGTGGAAAAGCCTAAAGCATACAGAACAAGAAAGTAGAGAGTTAATTACTCAGCTTCAACTTTTTGATGCAAAATTACCACCATTCGATTTACCTTATACTGAAATGGACACACCAATTTTATTGTAGGGTTCTATTAAAATAAAACCTAATCACTTGGCAGAATTAGCATGTCGGTTATTTTCTATTCCTCCAACACAAGCTAATTGTGACTGAAATTTCTCCACATTAAAATGGATAATTGGGGATAGAAGAACAAGATTAGGTGTTAGTAAACTTGAAGGTATATCAAAAATCCGATCATATTATATGGTTAATATCAAATCAGAATTAACATGTTTTGAAAGAGAACTTACTGAAGCAGAGTTGCGTGAAATTGTGAATTCTTCAACTGTTGAAAAGGTATGTCTATGTATAGAAATTATTTTAACCCAGATTAGATTTTGGTTATCATACTTAAATCGGTTAAAATTTTTTATTACTATTAAGGTAATGGCCTTGGAGAGTGACGATGATATGGTTGATTCTGATGAATTGTCCTATGCTGAAATAGAACAAGAGACTTTAGTAATTGACGATATTGTAGATTTGACACAAAATTATTT